AGCGGAGATAAGGCTCTAGGGCTAGATAAGATAACAGCCCGATTTCTTAAATTATGCTGGAACGAAATTGGAGAACAAGTAAGAGACATTTTTCAAACTTACCTATAAATAAGTCATTTTCCCATAGATTTCAGGGTAGCAGAAGTCGCGCTTCTTCCAAAACTAGGGCGGGACCCCGTGAATGCTAAAGGATGGCGGCCAATTTTATTCTCTCCTGCTTAGGAAAAGGTTTGGAACGATTAGTGGCCAAGCAAATGGCCTGGTTAGCTATTGAACATCGAGCTGTTCCTCAGCAACTCTTTGGCGCCCTACCTGGGCAATCAGTAGTTGATCTTGTCTCCTGTTTTATACATGATGCAGAAGCGGTAATGCGGAAAGGTAAAGCTATGGCCATGGCTACCCCAGATGTGCAAGGCGCATTCGATGCAGTACCCCACAAGTACCTGTTATACCAGATGCGGGAACAAGGATGGCATATTAAAATTTGCCGATGGATAGAATATCTTCTATCTCAGCGAAGGATACGTGTCCGACATCAAAATGGGACGAACCAAGACAGAGTGATGGAGTGCGGGGTCCCCCAAGGTTAACCACTGTCACCGATCCTTTTCTTACTGTACATCGTTATCCTGCTCCAGGACGACAATAGTAGAACCCGGTTTATATATGCGGACAACATAGCCATATTCGGTGTAGGAAGCACTGCGGCTCAAGCAGTAGAAACACTTCAACATGAATTCATCAATCTTGTCTCGCTAGCTAATGAGCACAAGTTGGACTTTGATCCAGCAAAGTTGGAACTCCTAGTGATAGGAGGAGGACCAAGGAAAAGAGTAGACACCACGGAACTCGGCATTAAGATCAAGGGACAAAGCATTCAATCATCCCTATGTGTGAAATGGCTCGGAGTATGGCTAGACTCCCAACTCTCCTTTAAGAAGCATGTTCAAGAATGGTGCGGGAAAGCCCAACGTATAACCCAACTTATACGTCACATTAACATGGTCCAACTTGAGATCGGCCCGGGCCCAATGATCGAAGTGACGCAGTCTTGTGTCTTAAGCACGGCACTTTACGGAGCAGAGGCATGTGGCCAGGACTGAGTAAGATCACTACTAAGCACGACAATAAAGTGGGTACTGGGGTCCGCTGATATATCGATCTGGTAGCAAGCACAATCCTAAAAGCAATTCGAGTAGCGCTACCAACATGGCGTACCACGCAAAATATGGCTCTATTTCGAGAATCAAGCATCCCTTCAGCAAAGTTTCTCCTACAGAAAAGGCAACTCCAGACCGCTGCACGAATACAACGACTCGACACTTGGCACCCGCTAGTATTCATATCTGGAGAGGGACCCAAGGAAACAATAAGTCTTCTAGGCCTGCGAATAGGCCGAAGAAACCGAGTGATCTCAGTGCTAGATCGTTATCTCACGAGGCTCCAACTAAACTCTAAGAGCGTGCCGATAGCCGAAGGTCCGGGTAAACTTTATTACCCGAGAGGTGAACCCACAAGTGAGTCCACTGGAAGTGTTGTGTTATCCATGTAACTTACCATGGTACATGCTTTAGGTCGCGTCATAGCATATGTACGTGACTGTGGAACTAAACCGTGGGTAGTTTAGTGTGTAATGCATGTGTGGGTAGTATGGACCAAACTAGAACTCGATAGAATAGAGATAATAGAAGCAGCGAGAGACTGATGGACTGAGAGAGAACGAGCTGGTCATTTCTCGTAGGAGAGGAATGATAACGTAAGGGAATGTTCTAGCACTAGGCTGTGAACAACACAGTAAGTCTTGAGCAACATATAAGGAGGTCTCAACCTCCATCCATTCATTGTAACTAAGCTTCCTTCATACGAGAATATAGAGTCAAGTCTTACATATCACGAGAACACACGCGACAGCGATTATAAAGACCCACTGTGAGCATAACTTTCCCAAGAGCATCCATCGTCCTGCTCCTATATAGCCTAGTTAATATAACAGGAAGCGTCAAGAAAGCGGAAGTAGATCACGCCAAGAAATGGATAGCTAGTCTTTCATCGGAGAAATTCTGTGCTTATTCGGACGGATCTTAGTGCGGCTCTGCCAAATCTGCCTGGGGATATACCCTCTACAGAGCAGGCCAAATGATAGGGTCAGGATCAGGTCCCATGCCTGGAGCAGAGGTTTACGACTCAGAGCTGTTAGGAGCCCAGAAAGCCATGGAAGAAGTCATAAAGAAGGCAAACGGAGGCCCAGCAAAGGTACTTCTGGACAACCCTAATGCCACGCGAGCTCTACGAAGCGGCCGAACAAGATTGTCTCAGTCTGTGGTTGACAAATTTACGACTCAGACAGGCCAGTTTCTATCAGTCAAAGTCTGTTGGATACCAGGACATTCTGGGATTAGCGGGAACAAGCAGGCGGGCAAATTGGCCAAGGCAGCCCTGAGAGACATCTTAGACTTAAGGGATGAGTAGAAACACACTTTTGCAGCGCTGAACCGGCTCGTTCGAGAGCAGGCCAAAGAAGCTGTGGAATCCTAGTGGCTTCAAAATAGACCAAGTCGGTACGAAGAATTAGACATTCTCATGGGGCGAAAACGACTACCCGAGCTTGGATTGCCGAGATGAGCGTACCATCGTTTAATAGCAGCGAGAACAGGACACGGGGACTTCAAGGGCTACCACGACAGATTCGGGTATGAAAATGTAGATTGCAGATGCATCTGTAGAAGGGAAAGACTGTCACGAAATGAGTCGTGATCTGAACAATCGAACAAAGTTAACAAAGTCTATTCTGATTATCTAAAACAATGATATCCAAAAGATGTCTCTACGGTATAGTTAAGGGTTTACAGCGTGGGGATATTTTGTAGGGATAATGTTAGTGTTATCTAAGATCGACATTACTTAATTGGTCTCCAGACCTTGTCGAGGGAACCTATCATGGCATCTTTAAGCCCGTAACAAAGACGTCCTTAGCACTTTGCAGAGCGCCGAACGGCTCTGCGACAATGGAGAATATCCAGACATAAACCACCACCACCAAGAAGTCGTGTTATGTTGGCAGAAAACGGATGGGAGGAATTCTACGATTATATATGTTGAGACCTATAATATACATTAATCTTACGGGGTAAATAACGTATGGGTCACATATTTACCTAACTGTTAGTGGTCACCAGTTGGGCAGGTAGTCTGCATGACATGTTGTGTTAAGGAAGATCCAGTTCACGTGATAGTGGCCTTCGGATATTAAACAAGAGGCGGGAAGATAGATCACTTGCTCCGTTTAGGACATGAGTAGAAGACATTAGTGTTGGCTCTAGAGAGCTGGATCACTCGTGGACTACGAATGGTGTATACATGACTGGAAATGTGTATTGTGATTTTGTTAAGTCTTTATTAGTATAACAATTGTTATTTCATTCCAACAATATAACCGTAATTAAATGCTACGCAAGGCAATTTTCACATTGAGAGGGCCAAACCTTCCCGAGAGACTGGAATGTCTTTAGCAGTTGAATGTGAAAGCAGGCAAGGCGCAGGTCGTTTTTTGTCTCGGCAATTTTCTTTATTTCTTCTTTTCATGTAATCAATCGGCCTAGAAATCTGGAGAGATAGGTAGTAGTGAGTCTTTGGGGATCACAAACCCATATTATGCCTTTTGGGTGTAGGGCTTTTTCCTGATACGAAATTTCTACATACATACATCTAGACTCGAGTATTCGTTATTTTTAATAGGCTACTGTCGAATAATAGGACACAAGTTCTATTTGGATTTGCATAAAGTAGGGATGCTAGAGTTTGGGCGGCAATAATGTTTATGATGATGTATCAACAAATTGGTAATAATTAGTAATAGCTTTGTAAGCATATATCATGTGACGAGTGTTCAAGGTCATTAAGGCCCTGGCGCTCCGTCACAAATGAAGATAGATACAAATGAATGAAACTACTGTTATCGAGTTATCTCAAACAAAGAATCCATAGGAAATATTTCGATAGCTACACGTCAAGAATCATTGCTTGTACAATCTCATGCTTTCGACCGGTCTTTAAAATCAGTCTACTTATAGGCAAATAGACTGATATACAATCTACCCACGCCACAATTAACCTAGATCCAATGTCTTTGACATCTAAGACCTAAAGTTCACACCTATCTCTACTAAGAATCTAGTCTCCGTTAAAAAATAGAAGTTACAACATAGAGAGTATAGCAAAGATCAAAACATGCCCAAAGATGCAAGACAGAATAATACGAAGTGGAACACAATAGTGTTAGATAGCCATAGCAAAGAACACTTTGGACTCGAGGTCTATGGAAAAGGTACGTTAGTGGGACATACTGCTGGTATAAAGGAAGCATTAAAGAGAATGCTAGTTATACAATGACGATATACTCTCTACCGACTCTCTTACGGAAACTTAACCGCACATGAGAGATAAGAATTGCTGACGCTAAGATGCTGCAATTCTGGGTGATCCTTGGAGGTTGAACCTAAGATATAGAATGGCCACCATGGAAAACCTCAGGATCCTATAGCGTACATATAAAGGAGGGGAAAATATGGGTCGATATTGAAACAAAATTAGCTTGATACGATTCCTTAAGTTGTTGTCGACTTGTTTGGTAAAAGACAACCAATAATTCAAGTCTATTTCGAGGCAAGCAAAGATACAGGATGGTAGATGTCTAGCTTATCTGTGTTGTGGCGTTGAACAAGGGGCCAACTCTAGCTGCTATGTGGGCCTTGTTGCTTTTGAATATTTAGATGGTGTATTTTTTCTTAGTTTCAGTTTGGTAATGGTTTGAGTGTATGAGCTGTGTAACTTCACGCCTTGGGAATTTATCATCTCCTCGCCACGCTACAATAATTTGGACAGTTTTATCAGTTCGGTCATTTGAGATGATCCAGCATAGAATCTTTTGGGGTTTGTTTGGCTCTAAGGATAGTTGGAAAGCAGTGAGGAGTAAAGTAGGATACATGCTATTTGAAAAGTTGCTAATTTTTCGAGATTGATTCGGACATTCTCAAGGAGCTTAATTTGTAAAAGTCTGTTAGTTGAATATTAAAGTCGGCGAATATAGACTTCCATAGATTTAGCCGTTTTTTATCAATTTTTTGTGGTTAACTGAAAATCATATAGTTGTAGGAACGATGAATTTTTGTATGAATGATACAACTTTGGTACATTATTTCGTGAGTTTTTACAAATATTTTTACTCTAGTTGAAAAGCTCTGCCTAGAAGCTCGATACGGATAAAGTCATCGATCACAGGTAATTAGATTTTTTGTATTTTTCCCTAAATTTGGAGGAGATTTTCTGTATTATATTTGCCAGCATATTTGTCATAGATTTTGGCTGCTATTATTGGAAAGGAACATCTAAGAAAAGTTAGACAGATAGAATTACACTGGGTAGTCGTGGCCTTTGAGACAATATTAAGTGATAGTTTGGTCTATTAGTACTATTTTATCAGTGACCTAAAAAATTTCTGCATGGCGAGATGAGAGCCTAGCACACCACAAATTTATACAGTATTTTCTTCTTGTGTTATGATGAGATAGCAGACTTTAGTTGCCAAGTATCAATTGTTGGCTGTGGATTTCGAGATATACGTTGAACGTAACTAATTGAAAGAAAATTTCATATCGCCATGAAGCGAGCTAGGAACTGGCCTAGAGGCTTTTGAGGTTTGTGCGATAAAGTATCACCCCTTGAACATCCCAACTAGAATTTTGAAAGAAACTCCCCCGTATTAAACCAACTTGATTCAATGTCTCAGTAACGTTGCACTTGAGCCGCTAAATTGTAGGCCATCAATTTTAGCTCTTAGAATCTTGGTCGAGAAATTCCAGTACTAGATACTTTTGTCACAGCCAATTCTGCCCAAAAACTCTTTTCTGTCGCAAGAGCCCTGCAAGCTAACTCCTGTAGCGTTGCCTGCACTTTTTCTTACATATTTACTCCTACCGACATTGGATAGCCGCCTCTTAAGGTCTATTGATTCAACCTCAGATTCAGCGTTGGAAAAGTTCTCGAGTAGCGGTTCCTCGGCAAAAATTTCTTCATCACTTTCTTCTTCATCGCTACGTGAATCGTCAGCCTGACCGCCGCGCAATACTCGTAAGGCTACTTGAACTATCATCCAGAACCAGAGTAGAGTAATTCCTTGAAGAAATAGGAGTGCGCTTAAAAATCCCCATTTGATATTATCGTTCCAGCAAATAATACCTTCTGGGTCATGAAATGGCTCAAGGAGATATATGAACCAGTTTTGAGCAGGGAAGGGCCCGATGATAGATCCATTTTTCCCTCTGTAACAGCCGTAGTCTATGTTAGATTGACTATCGGCGTATACGGACCAACAGATCATCAGGTATATAACATGACGAGCTGCAAACCAGATAACCATGAAAAATCCAAATACAAAATCACACAAGGTTGAGAAGCCGAGATATTTTAAACATTTGGCAATCTGAGAGTTCTAGTTAGATACGTATGAAGTGACTCTAGTGTCGACTTACAGGAAGTATTAAGTCGACCACATCCATAATACAAAGTATCAGATTAGCGACACGGGTTTGGTGATAGCCGTAACTTGTGAATATCAACAAGGTTGTAACGATGTGGTGTGTGAACATCTGATGATGATCTTTTCGCCGTTTTTCGATATTAATGACCATGATCTGCTGGAGCCAGAAAGCATACTGCACAAGAATGTACCATTTATGAAGGCCTCCAATCTCTCTATTTGGCCAGCCATTCCATAACTCTTGGAAATTCAACCAATAGGCAGAGTTGACCATGATATACTGTGAGCGTTGGTATCACTTTGCTCTTAAGAGCGTGGATTGCTACGTACCATGCCTAAAGTCCAGAAAATCGAGTAGTATATCAGAAGCCATGCCTGCTCAGAAAATCTAGTCTGATCCCTTTTGACCTGGATACCCCATGTTTTTGCTAGTGTCATTAGGCCGTAATTCATCACAGCGGCACGTAGGCCTGTGAATAACACTATCCAGTAAAATACCATCCATGCATCGTTCCACCCAGCTTGATACTCTCCTGTTGCTGGGTTGAAATAAGAGAGTTCGAAAAACTTTCGGGTGTGCCGTCGTGCGCGAGGAAAGCATGTGTGTGTGAGTGAAAGCAGAACGAGAAGATTTACAGAGAGGCCTCTACGGAGTTAGTTTTGAGGTAAATTGAGGTCAAGCTCAAAGCTTATCACCCACCAATCTGGTGTTCGACAATCCAGCTGCAGACAATTTCCATCGGGCCTTTGGCTTTCCTTCTAGACCTCCTGGATATTGAACCGACTCGGGCTGTACATTCCACTGAGGACTGTGTAAAGTCGGGATTCTTGGAGTCATCTGCTATATTTGCGTTGCTAGTCTTCGGACTATCAGATGTCGTAATATTCCCATATGTCTCATTGAGTGGGCTGGCCGCACACGGGATGCCCATAGTAGCTAGGCAAAAATTTCTCCAGACTATTTAGTGGGGAATCAGGTTTGAATAAGTTTGTGCCACTTAGCTGTGAGCGGAGGACATGAATATCCTGTATTTGTTGCCGCGAAATTGGTTTAGGACATGTCATAGGAGAGCGGAAATTAAGCACAACGCTAGAACTAAACAATGTGTGTTGAGATTTTGCTTGTTCGGGGAAGCGGTGAGGCCGATCAAATTATCTCGCCAGCTGAGCTGACGGAGGAATATCAAATGAACTATAGCATTGTTACCAGACTCGCAAGCAAGCTTGTTGGCAAAATTAAGTAACATTCGAAACCATTTACAACATGCAATCCTGCAGCCGCTACATTGATTGGATAACGGCAATCGACACCGAGAAGCAAAATTAAAATTGAAAAATCCCCACCAAAGCTTTATAGCATTTAATATCTAGTCTCTGATAGTTTTCGACGCAAAGGTCCATTTATATTATCTATTGAGCGAGTCTTTATTTATTTCTCGCCCTTTGCAACAGATAAAATCTTTAAGAAAAATGTGTTTACTAAGCCAACTATGTTCAGCAAAGACAATATTAGTCTCCAGTTGATCTTCCTTGGCTTTATTTTTTCATCATATTAAGAACCATGATTTCCAAGGCTCTTAGTTTACTTTACTCAGGTTAGATAACAGAGTACAAATGGGAGGGCATAGACTGAACATCTGTCCGCGCTGACATTTACAAACCTATGATTAAAATATTATCTCAGTGCTGAGTTCAGTCAAAATTTCGCTGTATCAAAGAGGTTAGCCCAAGAGGCAAAACTTCGAATTATTCCACCACGTCGTATTTTCGCTCCCAACGAGTTTGACGCCTACCTAAGTCTCATCAAGTCTACAAGTACGACCTAGTACATCCTCATCACAAGGACCACACCTCTCGACTTTCTCTGGCCTCAGCTGGTCGCCAAATACAAGCTCACGCCGATATTTACACCCGACGGAGGAAGCAAAGCGTGGCGCACAAATCTGGGAGACAGTTCTTTGGGATGGACGTGAGAGGGATAAGGACATGTTTACAAGACGATGCAATAGAAGGATATAAACTCGACGGGCATGAACTTCCGAATTTTGGCAAGCAGTTTTACGAATTGAGCTTTGTGCGCGCCAAGACTTCGCTTGTGAGAGTGCAGCTGACACTATAAAAACAAGCAAACGATGGAAGGTGTTGTGGTCCGCCTCCTGGTGGTGTTCTCTGGTATGGTTTGAGTAGCCTGGGCACCTACTCCACTTGGAAAAGATACACCTCAGATCACATATCGCGCGGAGAAAAGTTGAAAGATGATGGAGGCATGTCTGGATAACTCAGGGTTTTTGAGACGTTCCCCTGGGCGGGTATTCACGGATGAGAGTTGACTTGGGGTGAAGAAAAAGCCACCATAACTTCGCAGTGGTACCTGTAAATGAAATCTGAGGCATTAGTGCTCTTTTTGTAAATTAAGTCATCTATTATACACTTCTCTGGTATTGTGTCATAGCTAGATGGCTGCATACGCAATTAACATCTGATGAAAAAAAGATCTGTTTCTCTAACGTAAGCAAACATTCCTTATTATAGAATTGGAAAATGAAAATTGAATTATGAGTATCTTTGAGGGTAAAAGTCAACCAACATCTACATCTAGCACTGATCACATGTCATACTTAGGAAACTAAATTCGCATCAGAAGATAAAAAATAATTCACAATAAACTTTGCAGTAATGCACTCAGCGCGATTGTAACACCGAGAAAATAAGGTAAAAATTTCTAACTGTTTAACCTAAGCATTGTGGGGGCTATTCTCAGCACCTGTCAGGGGTGTCCCCTACGAACCTCCAGCTCTCACTGTAGAGTCTGCAGAGCCGAGATGGAGTAACAAAGTCCTCACTCCGACGAGGATTCCCAATCGCTTTCGCGGTCTGTATCGTCTTCATCTCTCAACACATCCCCCTATCACCATTACATGAAGCTAACCACCATCAGATCAGATGGTAGGGTCGGAGCCCTACTCGTTACCAAACCTTGATCACAGAGGAAAAGCCATCCGATGAGTTTCCGGAGCGTACCCAGCACCCGATACGACGATGGTGGATTGGATCAAGTCGGCCCCGACTGTTACAAAGAAGGGAGATATAGATGAATATGCGCACTTCATGTGGTCCCGGTGTCGAGGCCTCGCCTGGCTGGGGTTGCAGGTTTTTTGAGACATTTTCCCGCGCACGCAGTTTCCATTGCTACCATTTTTATTTTTTTTGGGTAGAAGGTTGCGTGGAAAAGGTGGTCGAATTCCACGGGCAACTACTGAGCTGAATGGCTATTCATCAAGGGCAATATATCAATGATCTTTCAAGAAACATGAGAGGCAAGGAGCACTGTACAAGGTGTGTCCTGGGCCAGAGAGGAGGCCAACGTGCTAGATAGTCTATGACTCAAGTAGTAAAATAAACATAAACACTCACTCGCGGCACTGGTATATATGGATGACTATGGCATGCTTGGATAATCAAAGGTTTTGAATTTCCCTTTGATGGTTACTTGGGGAAGAGGGTCGACTGTTTGTGTAAGCGAACATCTCTCATAGTGGTATTTGCGAATGAAATCCAGAGTATGAGTGTCTCTAACGTCATAAGAGTCATCCAATATGTATACATGACATCGGTCATTTGTCATAGCTACATAGCCGCATGCAAAATAAATGACTTAATGAAAAAAGAAGTGATCTGGGCTTTTACCTTAGCCAAAGGAGCAAATCATTAGGGCGTCTTCATGTGCGAAACGTCGATGATATTGGACGAAATCTCCGTGTCTGGAACGAGCTGTAATAAATGCCCCAAGTGCACGTCTAATTAGACCATACAATTCAGGTACTATTCCTAGGCTAGGGCCAATTCCTAGTTCCTTGTACCTAGAGGGTCTTTCCTAATTCCAGAAAACGTGAAATTGTCATCATCATATTTTTAATAAACAGGTCCTAAGCTAAAGCTATATGTCCCCTATGGGCACAGGACCAGTGGAGCTGGCAGGGCTCTCTTTAATTTTTCCTACAACCTAACTTTTTCCAACATCGTGAATCGCTGCCAAAGTGCAGCTGGCTAAACAGAAACAAAAAAACACCGAAATCAAAAGATTCTTCCACATTGGACCCAGCAATTCAATCCTCGCAAATTCCTTCGCCCATCACACCTTTCAGATGTCAGATTTATACCATCTCCGCTGAGAGCAATTGATGGGTTAGCAGGCACCCTTGATCCAGCCGGTATCCTACTATTCGTTAGTAAATGCCCCTGAAGGAACATCTTCGAGGTCGCTAAATCCTCATGCTTCTTCTTCAGATTCCGGCACTTCGAAACCTGTTGCCTCGGCTATCGAAACATCCTTCGCCGCAGAGATGATCGCCTTTTCCGCCCTTTTGGCTGCAGCCCGAGCTCGTGTCACTTCTGGGAACTTCCCTTGCTGGATTTGGCGAACCCACGCGAGCTGCTCTTTTGTCACCGGTCCAGACTTTCTGGGTCTGGCTTGGCAGTCCCGTGAATCCGATCGGTGGGGTCCCCCACGGTTGCGACACTTCGTGAGGGCCATACACTCAGCTCCCTAGTATATAATAGATCCCCAGTTCCAGCAGGCTAGAACACGGGAGGAACCACGGGTGGCGTGGAAGCTCAAACAGCGTTTGCACTGTTCAAATTTCCGACGAGGCTTGTGAATGGCAGCCGCTCCAGACTCGTCGAGAATACGGAAGCCCGCACGAGGGGCGGAGTCCTGGTCGAAGAAGGCATTTCAGTTGCGGCACAGGGCCCCAGGTCGGTAAGTCCCATATTGTCGGACCTGAAATAGTCTCACGCCTGTCGTGAGGGCGATCGCGAGGGAGACCAACTTAGCTTCGGTCGCTATAGGGTCGTGCTCTGTAACTATACTTACAGGTACGTTCGGCATCTGTAAGGCGACAAGGTCCGAGGATGCTTCGAGTTTGGCGTTTATACTCGCCAGCTTCGAAGAGGCATTTAGCATTTCTTGTCTTATTTTATTGTTCTTTGCTAACATAGCAAAGCTGATCTTTACTCGATGAAACGAGGTTATTTTATCGTTTAAGTGGTGGAATATGAACTCCATATTGCTTCTCACGATACTGTCAAGGCAAACTATTCCACCTACTCATGTAAACTAAGCTAGCCAAGTCATGTGACCTGGCTATCAGTACATAGACTTCATCTGTAGTAGTAGGGCTCTCTAGTCAACATTTACAACGTAATACTGTGTCCCACGTATCTTTCTTTAGAGATACTGATGGAAAATTTTCGCCACGGATGATCCTTCACTAGGCAAAGGAACAGTCGTTTGTCGACTTTCGCCTTGGGAGCTTCCTCATGTTGGGCTTTTGCCGCAAGTCGCAGCACAGCCTTAACAGTAGGGACTGCTTTTTGTCGCAGTCTATTTTTGGCCACTGTGGCCCAGGTGATTTTTACAGGCAGCACTGGGACAGCGGGTATTGTTTGGCTCTTAGCGTCAGGAGCTCAGGGAGAGGGTTCGCCGGGCGATGAGGGAGGACTGGTGGCGTGAAGGCCAGGCCCGGGGCCATGTATTGCGCACTGGCTGCGCGTAGGTAGACTCTCATAAAGTCTACAAATTTTCTTTTTGACCCGTTGGTCAAATGGAGGAGGGTTGCTGCGACACAAGAGATAGCGTCGGAACAGAGTAGCAGGTTTGTCGCTGTTTTGGCAGCGCGTCGTTGTTCGCCTTCGACGATTGGTCAAAATTCGAGGGGGCACTGGCTTCGTGGCAGCTTTAGGCTACAGCGTAGATTTCGATGCTGCCTTGCGTGCAGCGTTCTCCGACGGTTTTGATGAGATCGAAGAAGGTTTGGACGATTCTCCAATCCCATGGGGTACGAAAGCTCGTTGAGGAATTTCCTCAACAGTTTCAACTGACCCGATCATGTCAGTATCGGGCTCATTGATGATGGAAGGACTTTTTCCTTCC